AGAGAGAGAGAGAGAGAGAGAGAGAGAGAGAAGCAAGCGCCTTTGTATTATTTTATCAGTGAGTTGGGGAAGTTTTAAATTGGACTCTAAAGTTTGTTCTTCAATGCAGTAATGTATCGCGTAGAATACTCATTGGAAATCCACTACGGTTCTTTATTACGTGAAACTAAGCTCACTGTCCAGAGACTAGGGCCACATCAGACAGCAGAATTTTTGCGCTCTGTTGTGGATGGAAAGCTAAAGAGATATTTGGTCGCTTTTAAGAACAAGTGGGCTAACCCAGATTTCGGGGGTTTCCAGAAATCTTGACCTACACCAAAAGTGGGCATTGCCCTTCCTATAGGAGAAGTTTGGTTTCATTGGTGTGTATATTTGTTTGGTTAGAGAGAAAACTCTCCTTGTCTTTTAATGAAACTGAACAAAGGGCAAAAACTTTACCTTCGATTTTTTCAAAACAACGTTTTTCAGGATAGCCCCTTTTTGCTTAAAAGTAAAAGCGACCATTTGTGAGGCAGCGTGGTGGAATCAGGCTCTCGTCAAAATAATCAAAGTGAAGAAACTTGCATTTTTCCACAGGTTTGGGAATTGTTATCAAATTTCTTATTTTTGGCTCAACACCTTTCATGCCCATTAAAGAACTCATTTCTGTGTTGTTTTTCTGAAAAACGTTGATTAATGGCACAAAAATGTAAATTTTCAGTTACCACGGACTCTTAAGCTAAGGAAATAACTAATCTTTGGAGGCCATTTTCTCACTAATTTTACCTCTGAAAACAAGTGACCCTCACCTCCTTCTTTCGCAAATATCTCGACTTGTATTCGAGATAAATGGACATTTTTTTTCATCCAAATAAAGACAAGTGAACAAGCTTTAAGATAAAACCTATAACTCTACATGTCCAAAAATTGACGAGTGCCTGATTCCACCACGCTTCCTCATATTTTATTCATGATTAGTCCCACATGAAGTACACGCCGCGGTAAATTTTGCTCAACATAATAACCGAAAGTGACAAAGTACATGTATGTAGATCTCTGAGTACATGTAAAAGTTCGCATAGATGAGTAGGCTACTTGTTGCTGGTTTCAAACATGGTATTGCCACTAATAGGATTGTAATATATATAAGTTTAAAAATTTACTTTTAAATTTATTTATTTCTCCTTGCCTTTTCATATGCGTGCTTCCTTGTCTTTTCATTCATTGTGCATCCTCTTTAGTTATAGTCTGATCGACCTCAATGCCTGGCTACGGCTAGTCCCATCCTCTTTACAACTCACCCGGCGTCACTGGCTGGCGACATATGGCAAAACATCACAATCTAGTTCTGGGGTTCTCAGCTGACGCGTTGTAGCTAGCTAAAATCTATGTTAGTTTAGTGTACACAATGATAAGTCTGTTGAATTACCTAAATTAATTAATTAATGGTTCGTGCAAGAATTTTATGTCAAAGCT